CTAGATTTGCAGACATTTTTAGTTACTTAAAATACCAAATATATCCAAAAGAAGTTTTAAATAAAGGCGATAAAGCCAATTTTAGAAGACAAACTAAGCCATTTATAGTTGATAATAATGAGTTATATCATTTAAATAAAGCTGCAAAGGTATGCTATTATTTCAAAATGTTTTAATAGTTTTGCCATTTTGCAACTAGAATCTAGTCACCAAATAAACACGAATATTTACAAATAATTTATTTAATAAATAATGAAAATTAATTTAGTTTTGATTCTCATTATATTGATGGTTTAAAGCTTATTTTTTTTATAGAGAAAAGTTATTTGGAGTAGAGATGAACAACAAAACATAATAAAGTTTGTTCATGAAGGAAACGATGTCTCTGTTGAGTCAAAGCTTTATCTGGTCATACAGGTATTAATAACACAACCTATCACATTCAAAGTAGATTTTTCTGGTATGGAATGATAAAAGATATTACAACTTATGTTTCCAAATGTGACCAATGCCAAAAGTCAAAGAACAGAAAACTTCAGTCGAAACCATTGCTGCAAAATATTTCAATTCCTAAAGGCAATATGAAGCAGGTAGGAATCGATTTAACACAGCTACCAGAAGTTAACGGTTGCAAATATCTGGTTGTATTAATCGACTACTTCAGTAAATGGGTTGAAGCAGAAGCACTTACCGATAAAACTGCTAAAGCTGTGGCTTTTTTTTTGTATAAACAGATTTGTCGACATGGCTGTTTTGAAATTCAAATAAATGACCAAGGTGGTGAGTTTGTAAATGAAATTTCTAAAGAACTTTACTCAAAAACAGGAACAATTCAAAGAATTACAAGTGCACATCATCCTCAAGCTAATGGATTAGTAGAGAGACAAAATCAAACAATTAAACATATATTAGTAAAAGTGCTTGATGAGGCTGCTTTGGAATGGCCATACATTATTGATAGTGTTTTGTTTTCTTTAAGAGTTAGAAAGCACAAATATACTGGGTTTTCACCGTTTGCATTGCTTTGGGAAGCAGTTCTTCCTATTGATATAGATTGCAATTTAATTGACTTTAATGATAGTAACGCTCTTAGCAATGATGATTTTTCTAACAAAAAAATAGTTTCAGATACCTTTCATGCAATGAATAAAATGAAGAATAAAATTTTTGACGATGCTTATAAAAATATTGAAAAATCTCAAAAAAGACAAAAACATGATTACGACAAGAGAATTGCACCAAATAATGAAATTAGCATAAATAAAAAAGTGTTACTAAGAAATAGCAGACGTGATGATAGAAAAGGTGGTAAACTTGTAAAGCCTTGGACTGGACCATACATTGTAACTTCTATTTCTATTACAAATAACTGCACTTTGAAAAATCTAAAGGGTCAAATTTTGAAAACAAAGTACAACTTGACAAAGTTTGTTTATATAATGAAAAAATAACTAATGATGAACAAGAAATCACATTTGATGAAATTAATATGCAAATTTCTAATGATAAGATCGGAAAATATGCAACTATTGAAATGAGAACTTCTATTTCTGAAAAATTTGGAATTGGTATTACCAAAAATATTTTTATTGCAGATATTAATCTACTTTCACGTCCGAAACAAATTCACAAAACCATAGGCGATGGTAATTGCTTTTTTAGGGTAATATCGTATATCATTACAGGCAGTGAATGCAGTTATGAAATTATAAGAGAAAAAGTTGTTAAACATATGTGTACTCATATTAATAATGAAATGACTTTATATATGAATCAATCAATAATAACGTATCTAAATAAAAGTGGTATGAGTGATAACACAACTTGGGCAACTGATGCAGAAATAATTGGGTGTGCCTCGTTCATGGGTATTGATATAAAAGTATATAGCAAATATGGAGAGAAGTTGAAATGGCTGACTTACCCATGTAGTTTAACACTTACACAGCTTAGTGAACATGCTATATTCCTTGAAAATTCAACTGCAAGTCACTTTAATGTTGTACTGTTGTAAAATATTATCAAAAAAAAAAAAAAAATTATAAATTATCTTCTTCTCATAATTTTTAGACATTTTTTAAATATATTTTTATTTTAAGTCTGTAAACAAATGTTTTAAAAACGTAAAAATAAGCGAATTTACAACGGTATGTAGGAGAAGGAATAAAAATGTTTGTCTTTTTAAATTTGGTGGCGATACTTTTTCATATGCCTGACTGATTCCACATTAGTAAAGCGAAAGCAAAGAATCCAGAAATAAACCTATATAACAATATGTGTTTAATTTAAAAAAAAATCTTAACCCTATCTGATACATAGGGTAACCTACGATAAATTTTTTTTTTTTTTGCAGATGTGAATTGTTAAATAAAAAAAGTCAGAAAGAAGTAAAAAGCTGCGATTTTCAGATTCTGCAGGTTAGCAAGGTAAACTTGTTGTTTAGAAAACTCCTTTTCTAACAAGTTTGCAACAAGTACCATAGCCTAATAGTAAAATAAAACAATTTTGGATATTCCCCTTCATTTTTTAATAAAACAAGTACACATTTTGATCAAACAAGTACTTGCATATTCTATGACCTTTAAGTTTAAAAAAGATTATCTGTAAAATTTATATTTTCACCGTTTATTTAAAATAATATAAGAAATTTTACTCCCACTAAAATGTAGAAAATAAATTAAGTTAAAAAAGTTTATTAAAAGCTTAACTTTTATAAAATATATTAATTAAGCACTATATTAACATAACGGTAAAAATATCTAATGAGAGTAAAAATCTCATAAAGGGAGTAAAAATTTCATACGCATTTTTTACTCCGCGGCACAAATTTCATATAAAATTTTTTTAGGGGAGTAAAAAAATAATGGGAGTAAAAATCTCATACTACACCGGCATAACATTTGTTAAACACATCGATTAACTAAGTTATAAATTTATTAACTATATATATATATATATATATATATATATATATATATATATATATATATATATATATATATATATATATATATATATATATATATATATATATATATATATATATATATATATATATATATAATATATATATATATATATATATATATATATATATGTATATATATATATATTTTTTTTTTTCCTTTAATTTTCATAGTTATTTTATAGTCATTTTTTAAGCTGAAGAAAATTTATTTCATAGACTTTTTAACTTTTTTAGTAATATTAAACAACGTCTAATTGACATGGGACAATGGAGTTTTGCATAATTTTGAATAATTTTTTTTTTAACAATGTCAAGCTTGCAAGAACAAATAAAAATAAAGCCAATTGTAACCAATTCACAAAAATAAATTATAGTTGTTTAAATTTAATGTAAAAGTAACAAGAAACAAAGGAAATCGACACTTTTGCTATGAGATGTTTTTGTTTTGCACCTTCGAAAGAATGAGAACGAATAATTTCTGGAACAAAAATATAAACAAAACGCTATTGTTTGCTTCTGGACTATATATTTCTCATGACTATGTTTTAAGGGAAAAACACATTGTATTTTAACGGAAAAAATCTGCTTGTTAATCAGAAACTTCCGTTTACATGCCATGGGTTTTTCCGTAAAAAAAGCGCTATATTTTTAACAGTGTATTATTTAAAGATTCGGAATTTTTTTTATTTGTTTTTTATTACATGTTAAATCATTTCGTTAATATTTCAAAAAACTAACACGCTAAAATATAACAACATAAACAATTGCAAATAAAGATTTTAATATATATATATATATATATATATATATATATATATATATATATATATATATATATATATATATATATATATATATATATATATATATATATATATATATATATATATATATATATATATATATATATATATATATATATATATATTTTAGCGTGTTAGTTTTATGAAATATTAACGAAATGTTTTAAAATGTAATGAAAAACAAATAAAAAAATCCGAATCTTTAAATAATACACTGTTAAAAATATAGCGCTTTTTTTACGGAAAAACCCATAGCATGTAAACGGAAGATTCTGTTAACAAACAGATTTTTTCCGTTAAAATACAATGGATTTTTCCATTAATACACACAAAAGAACGCGGAAACTATAGAAGACCGTGAGGTTTTGTTGTCTAGAACCGCTGTTAAATGACAAATCTACAATTTAAATATTTCATGTAGTAAATAAAATAGTGTTTTGCAATAGTAAAAGAATAAGATTTAAATAAAATATTACAAAAATTTCTCAGAGATAATATGATATATACAAGCAATATAATAGCAATAAAGTCTTGCAGATCGTAAATAATATGCCTAAATTTCCGATTGCTGTCTCTATGTAAGATTTTTATCAATATAAGTTCCTAAAAACTGTGTAGTTTTTACTCTTTTTACTTGAATATTATCAATAAATATAGAAGGCGTTTCGTATGGTTTCGTATAATTTTTTGAAAAGTGAGTGAAATAGAGTCCAGTTTATTTACTTTGAACGAGTTAAAAAGTTTTTAAGTTCTAAGTTCACAATTTCAAATAATAAAGTGATGTTGTTGTGTAATAAAAATTAAATTAGGGTCGGTGACAAACATTATTTTCCTTAGGCTGCTTTATGAAGATCATTGAGATTTATAACAAAAAAAAGAAGAAGAAGAAAAAGATTATAGAACCGTATGGCAATCCACAAGTAAGAGTTATTAATGTTTTTGGAATGAAATTTATCACAATAAGTTTCTAAAACACACCCAAAAGATATGAATTGTCATCTAAAATGTGCTGCTTTTGCATAAGAAAAAAATTGCCAGTAAAAAGACAAAAAAGCCAGTTAATTTTGGAAACAAGAACAGTTATGTAGGCAAAAATACATTCAAAGGAAGCTTCGAACAAACCATTGGTAGGTGTTTTGCAAACTGCATTTTACATAGCGCAGATTTAATAAAGATTTGCGATGAAACTATTGTCTTAAAAAATGTCATTTTTTAACACAATACCACTCTACAACTAGATGGTTGATTTTGTTTCCAGAAATGCTGCTTTGAAAATATATATTCTTTTTATATATCAACCACCTGTTATGGTAGAAACATTTTTAGATTGATATTTCAAATGTTTACTTTTGGATTTTGCATTCTTTGATTTGTCTTTCATGTTAATATTGAAGCAATTGAAAAGGAAGAAAAATTAATGTAAAAGGTTATGAGACTTTTTCATTCAACATTACTGAATGTAAGAGTTATTTTAAAAAACTTAAAGAAAAGACTAAGAAGAAGATTGTAGTTGTTTTGTGGCAAGAAAACTACTGTATGAACCATGCCATTTTTTTATGGTGGTTGAAACCTTCTGATGAATTTTACTGCTTTTGTTGGATGTACTTAAATTAATAGAACTGTACGCTTGATGATTTTCTGGCATGCGTTTTATATTACATAAAAAAATCATAAAGCTAGAAGATGCACAGTAGGGTGACACAAAGTAGGGTCGAAAAATAAAATTTTTCAAAAATCAATAACCGCAGTTGCTTATCCTGTTCTACAACATTCAGTTAGTCTAAAAACAAAGTATCACTTATTTTTATTCGTTAGAAGTGCTACATGTAATTTTTTAAATATTGAGGATTGGCTGAACTTTATGTCATTTTTTACCGGTTAAAATATGTTTATATCTAAACTTTTGTTTGATCTTACAAGAAAAAAAATACTGTTTATAGTTTCATACAGTTAGCTATTATTTTACAATAATTTTTCAACTCTAGGTTTTAGCTTTACCAGTTCCTTAAGCGACACATCTTTTGTTAAAAGCTTTCTGTGCTCTCTGACTACCAAAAGAATGTTCTGTCTCTGATCCTTATTGTGGGAACTGTGAACAAAGTTTTCAATTAAACTAATATTTCTTTCTGCGCAATCGTTGGTCACACTAAGATTGCAAACTAACTGAGCAAAATTTTTGTATGAATCTAGCGCTAAGAAATCAATTGAAGTATGCCACTCTCGAACAGATTCGGTGTGACCTGTATGTATAAAAAATAGCCAACTCTCCTTCGTAATTAAATCCTCTAATCGACTATCACTGGTAACGTTAACAGCAGAAGGAGCTGTAACAAAAATCTCTGATAACTCAGGAATTGGAAATTTTAAAAGTTTCTGAATGATTAAACGCTTAGCATCTGCTTTCATATAAGGATCACCTAACGATAGTACGACAACTTAAGGAGACAAATACCATGTGTGGTTACTCATGCATTTTTGAAGTGAGTTTCCAACTTCATAATCCCATTCTGTTTTAATTGTTTCAGCAATTTTGAATGCATTAAAATCATTCAGAACAGCATGCTCTGCTTTGCCTGAGTTAAGAAAGGCAGGTCCATAATAAATAGCAACAATAAATGCTACCCTTGAGACCATATGTTTTTTTTCAGGAGTCAGATATTCAACGACTGTGGATGTCATATCGAGCATTAGAAAATATATTGCATAGGCCATAAACCTTGCATTGTGACAGGCGCCAGGCTGATAGATGTGAAAATTATTTAATTTCTCAGACTTAACATTCATGTAATACGCCAAGTATTCAAAAAAAAAGTATATTTATGAAAAAATTAATTCATTTTATATTATTTTTACATACCTGGGGAAGATATCATGCTCTAGTGCTTTAGTAACAAACTTTTTAGACTTCAAATAGAGTTTGCAGAGATCACTGCCAACAATAAGGTCTTGCTCAGAAATCGTTTGAACTTTTCTACAGCACCACTAGCTGAAACTTTAGGAAAAAATTCTGCTATCCATTTCTGCTGAAAATCTTTTAGTAACTTATTCGCAGGGGCTTTAGACATTTCCATTGAAATTGCCTTTAAAGCCCAAGTAATATTTATTTCGGCAATATGGTGTCTACACAATAACCAAAGAAATGGTTTACCAAGAAATCTTGCCATAATAGTTATTGCACCAGATTTCCATCCAGTGTTACTTACTGTGGTGTCAGAACAGAATCCTACAATATAGTCACAAATTTCAAAATATTCTAGGAGATTCATAATACTTATAGCCATATCAATTCCCTTACCACTATCAGTTGGCACAACACCGTGTAAAAGATCATCTTTGGTTTCAAACTCTGGGCTAGTAACAGATACTGATAGTCTATCTGCAGTAGTTGCCTGTCTAGTGTCCTCCTCAATATGCTTTAAAACTTTACCATCAAAATGTAAAACTAACATCTTGTTAGCCATTAAATTAATATATTCATTACGTATCTGGCCTCCTTCCTCTTCTAAAAATCTGTAACGTCGCCTTCTGACAGATTCTCTACTTAACTTTAGCTGTTTAACATCTCCTCCTAAATAGTTTACTACGCTTGCAATAAAAAGGGTTTGATCTCAAATGCTGAGACCAGCCCTTATACTGGTGGAAGTTGTTGCTGCAATGAGACCTTCACTGGTTATCTCCTTTTCTACTCTGAAATATGATGGTCTAAACTGATGTCTACTTTTTGAGCTTGCTTCGTGAAAATTAACATTTTTATTTGGGACAAAATCTTCCGACTTAGCAATTACACTTCCAGCATCTAAATTAATATAAAGATTCTTAGCTTAGCTATACATTTACTTCAAAAAATTACTAGTTTTGCCTAAAATGTCCGTGCATTATTAGAAAAAATTGTTTATATTCTCTCTTTTTATTTAGTCATAAGTTGAAACAAATATTTTTATGTGTTTAACAAATTATACTTAAATATTACCTAATTGTGATTCAGCTCTTGTTTTTTTAGGTTCTGTAGTTTTTAGGTTCTGTAGGTTCCTCACTTGCGAAATTGAAATTTATATCATTGTTAGGAAAAAAGTTGTGATTCCATTGCCTTTTTTCCCCAATTTTTTCTTTGTTGTCACGAATTATCGAATCGTTGCTCTTCTGTACTCGATCTTTATATTCTTCTTTCCTCTTGCATCTATCAAACTTTCTCTGAAACCTTGCTTCAAGCTCTGTGTCAATTTTAGAAGATATGATCATATTTCTGTTAGTTCTGTGCAAAAAGTTGTTAAAACACTTAGCGTAAGATAAGTTTGAATAAAAAAATAAAATTTCTCAAAAAAATGATTTTTTTATATAAAGGAAAAATTAGTAGATTTATCATAATTGAAAAATAGGTTAAATCTTTGAAAAAAAATTTGAGCAAAAAATACCTTTGATCATCTAAAAAGGCCAAATCCTCTTGTAAAGCAGAAGGCGAGGCATTGATTCATCGCGTCTCAACTTCATCTCAAAGTCCTTTGCACTGATTTTGCTCTACCATATTGTAAAAGTCATTTTTGTGACGTTCGGAAATTCGCTTTTTGATTTGAAAGGTTTTACTGTTGCACAAAGTTTTGTATTTGCTGTATAGAGATTTAAACTTTTCCACTATACATCTCTCAGAAATTAAGTAATTACTGAAACCAGCAGACTTCCAAATATTTACAATTTGTCGGAGTAAACAGTATTTTTCGGTATTTGAATTACAAAACTCGTCTTTCCCTTTACATATAACATCCTCTCGTGCTCGAGAACATGAAAAGTTTATTTTAATAGGTTTGAATCGCTTATCTCTAGCTGAAGTTAGGAACAAGTAATATCGAAGAACACTTCTATTTGATGGAAGTTGGTTTGTAGGTAGATAGCTTAAAGGCGAGTTAAGCAGATAAACAGACCTCCGAGCGTTATAGCTAATTTCTTTTGTTTTCCTCTCTTTGATTTTCAACATTTTGTACGGATATGTAAACAGTAAAAAAAATTCGAAGTTTTAAGTAAGATAATTAATAAATCAAAAGTTGCCAAGTGATTAAAAGCAATCCACTAAGTTTATGGTGCAATTAAAGTTTTTAAAAAATAGTTGTGAATGACCACAAATGTTTTAAAAACATCTTGAGTTTTTGACACATGTTTTGAAAACTTGCTGAATGATGTGAAAATAATAAAATAATGTGAAGAAAAAAAAAAGGCTTGGAACGTAAAATTTTTTAATTTACATGTAGCTCTTCCTGATCACTTAGGGATCTAAAATTTTTTTTATAGATTTCCGAAGTTTGGTAGAACAGGAAAATGTACTGCGGCTTTTTTTTTTTTTTTTTTAATTTTGTGTCACCCTAATGCACAGCTGTTTGACCTATCCTGTAATCCTGTAATCTTAAATCATTTGTTTAAGACAAAAATAAACAGATTTTTGAAAAACCCATGCATGAACAAGTGAGTTATTTTTTAAAGCTTTAACGAGCAACGGAATTATATTTTAAAATATGTCCAAATGCAAGTTGTTTTTCAGAGATGTCTATAGTTTATAATTTGTTCTTTTATATCTCTGAACACAATGAAAATATTGAAAGAGTTTTTCTTAACTATTAATCAACAAACAAAGGAAAAAAATATACTTTTAGTTGATTCTGTAAAGGGAATCAATATCACAAGTTATAATATAGTCAACTAACTTAGTCTTCATAACTTAGTCTCCCAAGGAATCTTGGTTTATCTATATTATCAATCTATATTTTTTATTTTAATAAACTTATTATAAATTTTCATCTGGTTTTCATATTCATCTTTTCATAAGAAGATAGTTCCAGGAAATATATGTCCATAATAGGAAATTCAAGGAACTATATGTTTCTGTAAATAGCGGAATGTATGTTTCTGTAAATAGCATTTTAATCAAAGAGTTCAACAAGTATGTCTTTTGATCTATAGATGTTTTTTTATACATATTTTATACACATTTATACATCAAACAACTTATAGTTGTTTGATGTATAAATGATATCTTATAGTTGTTTGATGTATAAATGATATCATATTTTATACACATTTATACATCAAACAACTTATAGTTGTTTGATATACACGAATCTTTCAAGTTGTTTGGGAATGACAAAGTGATTTAGCTCTGTAATTACAACAGTTCTGTTTAAAGGTAATTTTGAAGATAGGTATTAGTTTAGCAACCGAAAATAGGTTAGCGTAAATTCCAGATATGAATATTCAAATATACATAAAATTGATTTTTTTTTGTCATTTTTAATTGTCATTTCCATATAAAGCTGTTTTTTTTTTTATTATAAACCTTCATTTAGTATTAAAACTTAGTAAACAAATATGTTTATAAATAAAAAAAAAGAGGTTTTAAACTCCAACTAAGAAACGGAGAGTTGGGTACAATTTACATGTACTTATATTGACTGAAGGTTTACTGTTAAAGTTTATTTGAAAAAATTGCTATTGATCTACTTTATTCATAAATAATATCTATCGGAATCATAATAATATGAATGAAAAACATGTCATACAGATGATTTTTTTTTATTTATTAAAAAATTCATTCTGTAGAAATCAGACTGATTTGAATTGTAATCTTTTTCAAAATTGTTGTTGCTATTCATACTAGAAGAACTTTGTTTTTTGGAATACTGACCAAATGGTCAGTATTCCAAAAAAAATGGTCTCAAAAAAAATGGTCTCAAATGCATTTTCAGGTCTCAAATGCATTTTCAAACTTAAAATTAGAACAAATACTTTCCCATGATTTATTCATATTTTTATTTTGTATAAGCTAATTGAGGCCTAAAAAAGAATAAAATATATATTATAGACATACGGCTTGTTTAAATATGTTCGAAAGTACGCGAAAATTAATTTTTTGTTTAAACATGCTTCAAAAGTACGCAAAAATTTTCTTTTTGTTATTTTTAATCTTCATTCTCATTCAAAGCTTTTGATAGTCCATAATTTAAATTATCAATTTTTATATATCAAATGAAAGGTCTTTCATTTGTTAGCATTTATATCGGTATAATAAATTTTATATGTGAAAATTCCTATTTTTACCAGGTTTGTTTACTTTGAAACTGTTTTTTTTACAATAATAGCACTCTTACCTAGTTTAACCTTCACTTTTATAAAAAAAAAATTAAACAAAAATAAACTGAACATTGTTTTAATAATTAAACTAAACGAAAAAACACGGAAAAAGTAAAATATTTTTGAATGCGGATGTCAAATCATAAAGCGCATCTAAAACGGAAGGTAATGAAGGCACCTTTAAATATATCACATTAATATACTACATATCATTATTTTAAGCACTTTTCTAAAAGTTATTTTAGAAAAGTGATTTAGAAAAGTAATTTTTTATTATTTTGATAAATTAAATTTGATTTGATTAATTAAGCTCTATGGAGAACTAATTTTTACTATATATATATATATATATATATATATATATATATATATATATATATATATATATATATATATATATATATATATATATATATATATATATATATATATATATATATATATATATATATATATATATATATATATATATATAAATGACTAATATATTTCAAATTTTTGTATAATTTTATTTTATTTGAGACCAGAGATTACCTATATTTGAAATATTGATAATATTGAGGATTCGTTAAATGTTTCAGGTTCTTGAAGCACTTATAACGATTAAAAAACTAAATTTCAAATCATGAAAATTTACAAAATTAAAATCATATTTTAACCGTACAAAACCTAAAATAAAACAGTAGAAGTACTAGTATAGTAATATAAGACAGATTTTAAAATATCAATTAAAAATAGGCATGAATTAAAAGTCTGTAAATTTTTAAAGCCTTTTAACAAAAAGGCGCTTTTTAACCAAGTCGTCGACCTGCTTTTATTCTTTAATAAGTTCGAGGTGATATTTTTGACGTTTTGAGTCTAATGGTTAAAAATCGAGCAGCAATTTTTTTATCAATTGAACAACATGTATATCCTCATAAAAAGGATCAACATGTAAATCCTGATAAAAACGATCAACATATAAGTCCTTATAAAAATGATGCGACTACATCTAAATCAGTCGATTTATGTACGGATTAATACACTTATTCTGTAAAACTATGAAAAACAAAAATAAATAATAAACATAATTATAAATAAACAATAATTATATTTATAAAACATAAAACTACTTAGAAATTAAAACTAAATAAAGTTACTTAGACATTAAAATTAAAAAGAAAATTTACCAAACAATGATATGAGCCTTTAACCCTGTGCGCCTCAAAAAACAACATCTTTTACATCCACAGAAGTACGCGAGTTTTACATTGTTAAAAAATCAAAGTATTTTTAATGTTTTTTGCCTACAAATAAGATTTTTATAATGTAAACATTATTTCTACGCACGTACAAATAATGACTTCCTAATAGAAATGTACAAATCACAAAGTAAAATAAAATAGTAAATAATATACAATTAATGATATGCAATTAATAATATGCCTTGTAATAACTTATACATTTGATAAAAGTATTACACTTTACTTATATTTGTATTATGAATATTGTTATATTAGTTTTATACTAACTGTTGTTAGTATTAGTGTTATACTAATACAAAAGCAAAGCGTGTCGTTTCACAGGTATGATGAAACACTTATACTTATTAAAAGTGTTTCATCATACCAATGAAACGAAAAGTCTTAGATTTGTATTTGGCGATTTGTGCATCCAAATGCACAGCACAAATTAATCGTAACTCTACAATTTTTCAAAAAGAAGTAGTTGCTCTTAAAAATTTAACAGTTAAAATCTTTTTGAAAACTCAAGTCCAATTAATGAGTTATATATCCCTATGAAATGCCTTTAGAATTTAAGATTTTTGCTGTACCGCAAGATGGCGGAGGCTGGCTTCACTTTTTAACTTAAGTCATCTAGTTATATTTATACGCCATTGATTACAATTCAGTTTTGTCTGATTGCTTCAAATCAGTTCTGTCTGCTTGCTACAGAAGAAATTTCTTATTCAAAAAAAAAAAAAACTATTCTTACTATTATGATACCCATAAATATCATTTATAAATAAAGAAGATGAAAATCAATAGCAATTTTTTCAATTAAATTTTAATAGTAAACCTTCAGTCAGTATAAGTAAATTGTGTCTTTCCGTTTTTAAGTTGGACTTTTATTTAAAAAAAAACTCTTTTTTATATATAAACATGTTTTTATAGTTGCAATACTAGATGAAAGTTTATAGTAATAAAAAACATTCACAACTTTAGATGGAAATGATAATTAAAAATGATAAAAATATCAACTTTTATGTATATTTAAAGCATAATGTTTCGCCACTACTTTTATTGTATTTTTAAAGTATAATGTTTAGACAGACCTTTTTTAATATAATTTTATTTTTATTGATGTTTAGAGACTATGTTTACTTTTATTATTTTGAGGTTTGAATTAGCCAATAAACAGTAATCAAGTAAAACACCCATTTGAAAGTATGTACTTTGTTCTTTTTTAAAGTTTAAAAATGTTTTCGACACGTTTTGGCCATTATTTCTAAAATATTTGTCAAACTTTGAAGTCCAGTATTTAGAGAACCAACAATGTTTTTAAAAGTAATTTTTTTAAATTTAATTTCTAATATAAATAGCATCAATATACCAAAAAAATTACAAATTTTGAAGAAGGTCACTATTATTGAGGGTCTACAACTTATACCCTGAAAAAAAGCATTTTTACAAACTTTTTAAACATATAGTCTTTAGTAATTTTATAGAAATCCATAGAATATCTATAAAATTGGCAATTAATTTTATAGAAACTGCTTAACATTTTTTTCTAACATGACATACTTAAATCACAATAATTAACTTAAAGGGATAGTTGGTCTCCGGCGGCAGTTGTCTAAGGGGCGCTAAATAAAAAAGATAACTAAAAAAAAAAAGTATGGATCATTACTGATAATTTCGGAAATATTTAGAAAAATAGGGGCACCAATCAGGGTTGCTATTCCAGGCGGCGTAAAAGCTCTCGGCGCCCCTGATTATAACAAATAGTAATATACAAAACAAATTTTAAAAAATATTAATTTAAACTATTCAAAAAAATATTAGTTTAGATTTTTATCCCCAAATCAGACGATATTTAAAGCGACACATAAAAACAAAGTTGCTCATCCCGCTTTTTAATAATTAAAAAAAAAATACTAATAATAATAGTAACATGCAATAATAATAGCAGCAATGTATATAACGATTGGCTATTAACGGTGTTATAAGTATAATTTATTAGAAAAGTTGTTTGTTATCAATTAATTCTGAAAAAATTACTTTTTTTTAAGATAACTTAATACTGAATAATTATAAGTATTAAATATGCTGATTTTTTGCGTCAATATTGATTATTAAGTCTCAGATCAGCAGATTGTAATATTGAAAAGAAAATGAACAACTTTGACAAAGGTTATTTAGGTATTATATTTCTAGTTATTAAAACAGTTGAAGCATGAGATTTATTTAGTAAACTATGCGTATTATAACAGAAACGTTGAAAAAACCCAGTCAATTAATTACATCATGCACCCCAAAGACCAAAAATACCTCCACTAAGGAAAAGTTTATCACAAATTTGGTTAAAAAAATTAAAGTTTTGTTTTTCACAAAGGTAATTTTAATGTGGCGCTTAAAAAATTTTCAATGTTATTTCTTATATTGGTTTTAGAAAAACAAAAATTATTATTATATATATATATATATATATATATATATATATATATATATATATATATATATATATATATATATATATATATATATATATAATATATATATATATATATATATATATATATATATATATATATATATATATATATACAAACAGTTTTAAAATTTTAACTAGTACCTTGCTATCAGTCAAAAATTTCAATTTCCGATAGATTTCAAATTTCAAAATCCGAATAAAGTTTGTTGTAAATTGATAAAGCATTTCTTTAAATTTAATATAAATTGATAGAGCATTTCTTTATATTTTTTAAAGCGTGTTGAAAATCTGAATTTTAGCATAGTTTTTTTTTTTTTTAAAGTTTTTACTATTTTTATTATTATTATTGTTATTATTGTTATTATTACTATTATTATTATTTACTCAATACTTATAAATCTATTATTACCACACACACACTCACACACACGCACACACACAAACACACACACACATTTATAAGTAACTAATGTATTTAAGTAATCTGCGGTAAAGAATGAAAAAAGAATTATTAAATATAAAGCAACTCTAGACTTTTACGTAATTTGTAGATAACAATCAGCGACATGTATAGCGGGTGTGGCTTATGTTGTTGTATATATATATATATATATATATATATATATATATATATATATATATATATATATATATATATATATATATATATATATATATATATATATAATATATATATATATATATATATATATATATATATATATATATATATAATATTATTATATATATGTATATATTTACCCTATTATATATGTGTTTACATATTTGATATATATTTACAACAAATACATAATGTACATATAATATTTTACCAGATATATATATTTGTATATATATAAATAAATGTAAATATATTTATATATATATATATATATATTATATGGTTTTATATATATATATATATATATATATATATATATATATATATATATATATATATATATATATATATTATATGGTTATAATATGTATATATTTACCCTATTATATATATATATATATATATATATATATATATATATATATATATATATATATATATATATATATATATATAATAGGGTAAATATATACATATTATAACCATATAATATATATATATATATATATATATATATATATATATATATATATATATATTATATATATATATATATATATATATATATATATATATATATATATATATATATATATATTATATGGTTATAATATGTATATATTTACCCTATTATATATATATATATATATATATATATATATATATATATATATATATATATATATATATATATATATATATATATATATATATATATATATATATATATATATATATATATATATATATATATATATATATATATATATACGTTTACATATTTGATATATATTTACAACAAGTGCATAATGTACATATAATATTTTACCGGAGTAAGAATAAGAAATAAACTGTCGTATCACTGAGCCCCATTTACATTTTTATATTGTGTTATATACAAAGACCAGAAAATGCGTATAAACTTTAAATTAAATTGTGTTTAAAAAAAAGCGTGTGACATTATTACTGATATAAAAATATTGCGACTTTTTATATCCTTATACAAATGCATATTTATATATACGCAAACACATATTTATTACCAAATGTATATTTATTACCAAATGTATATACTTTAAGGTATATTTAGTAATAAAGACCTTTTTTTTTCTACTGTTTTAAATTTATTTAAATGGAGATACTTAAAAACCTGTTTTGCTAAAATCTAAGTGAAAATGACTCTTTTAGATTCTGTTAAATTTCTACAGAAAGACTTCAGAGATTCTTAAAAAAATTTTAATGGAAAATTTTTTTTTTTTAAATTTTCCTAAAATTTATGATTTTTGGAAAATTTATACTTGTTTTAAATGCGGGTATATATGTAATGAAGCAATCCAATATTACAAATTAGTTTTTTATAAGTTAGTTCAAAAATATCTAAAAAAATTTTGATTAAATCGTTTTTCTTCCAAGTCTTATCAGTACTCAGTAGTACTGAGTACTGATAAGACATAAGGGAACGAAAAATCGACCATTTGCGGTGATCGGACTTCTTCCGTGATGGTCGGTTATCAGCTAACCGCAGCGGTTGGTGATTACGGTGCGCGGTGATGCATTGGTGGTGACAGCGGTTAGAGGTGTGCAGTGATTTTCGGTTAGCGGTTTTCAGTTTTCAGACCATCACCGCAGAAGTCCAATCACCGCAAATGGTCGATTTTTCGTTTCCTACTCAGTACAATTCTCCGTTATCTTCTTGAACTCTAAGAATTATCCATAATCTTCTCAAAACTCTAACGATTCTTCTTAATGGTTTTATAAATTATTATCACAACACGAAAGAAATTTATTAAAGTGAATGGAAAAATTAAACGATATTAAAACATTAAAAAAAATAAAATTACGTCATCAAATTTTGTTTTTTTCTCTTCTTTTTTTTTCAACAAATAAAGCAAAAAAACTTTATTTTTTCCGTAGACATGCACAAATTAACAGTAAGCTATTTACCATTAATAAAATATAAAATGTTATGTATAATAAATTGTCATAGAAACAAATTATCTGAGCAAAATAGTGATAGCCATTAAAATGATAGTATTTACACGATCAAAGCATTTTACAAATATTTCATTCTGATTTAAACTGTTACTTGAGAAACGTTATTTAAGAAACAATTTTTTAAGGGCCGTTATTTTTAAATGTTTTTAATTAGTTAAAATTGCATAGAATGTTATTATCTAAGAGTGTTAGTTATCTTGCAAAATTGATATTAGCTATTTTATCTATGCAATTACTTTGTGAATAATAATCCGAAACATAAAATAAAATAAAAAAGAGTATATATGTTCAAGTACTCGGGGATTCTGACCTTTTTTTTTTATTTTTCATTTTGGTTTTTAAACTTAGTTACCTCACATAGTGCAATCATATACCTCAATGGTTACAATCAAACTACTTATATGAACAATAATTTTTACAATTTTTATTAATTTTTTGGAATATAATTATTTTTAAGTTTTATTTCAATTAAAATCTCTTTAATATCACATCTATCTAATATCATTTTCATTTTATATGGTATATTAATTCTATAATTCACTTTTAAAATAAATTACATAATTAGTATAGTTTAAAATAATTTTCATAATTAAGTTTTGATCTAGTTTATACAAGTAGAATCCAATTCAAATGATTTATAAATGATTTTTTAGTAAGGAATTGAGTGAACCAAGGTTTCGAATTATTCCAAGGCTTCAATTACCGTTGTTTTTTGTAATGAACTTAACAACTGTGTTTATGCAGATAAAACACAAACACGACAAGCGGATCAATACGAATAATGTATTTATAAAACTTTGGACATTCCATCATAAAGTAAAACAGCGTGCTATGACTTTTAAATAATCGAGCCTTAATCACAAGGCTCACTTATTAGCAAATAAAATGGAAGCTTTCTTAATTTAAGTTAATGATCAACAATTATTAAAACCAATGAACTTCCAGATTATTGACATTTCAGAGCATTTAAATGGGCAATGGCAGGATACGTATAGGCAAGTTAAAAATGTAGAACTCATTGCTATAAATCAATGTATACCTATTTTAAATCCATTTAAATAAAAAAAATAGTTTATTTATGAAACATGCGATTAATATTTCTTTTGTATTTTTTATAAATCCATCAAAACAAACCACATCATTATGATTATTGAAAATAATAATGCACGACGACAACCTATATGATAAGATTGAATATGTGCACGCTAAAGTAAAAGAATCAGAGGCAGAGGTAAAGAGGTACAATTTTAATACAAATTATTATTATTATACTATCAATTCAAAATTATATTCAAAATATTTCATAAATGTTTAAAAATTAAAAATCAAATATTACTTTTATTAGTGTTTACACGTAACCTGTATAAATTTTTATGCTAAAATTTTGTTTTGAGACAAATTTTAGTTGAACTCCAACAATTGAAATAAATAAACAATTTAATATGTTTTTTAAAACTAAATTTCTTGTTCTTCTTCAGTTTTTCTTTTTTAAACTTTTCATTCCAAGTTGTACGAGAGGAATGAGAAAACTTCACGCGGAGGCAACAGTGCTGATAACATTACATTATTAATTTAATAATATAATTATTACATTCATAATTATAATATTAAAACTATTACTTATGATATTTAATATTAAAACCTTGATGTTTTTATTTGTTTAAATATATTACTTTAATATATTACTTTATTGGTGTCTTATGTTTATTACTAATATATTGGTGTCTTCATAATCTTGATTGACTTTAATGAAAAAGAAATATAAATGAATGATTTTAAATTAATGATTTGAAAATAAAAGAATTAAAAACGAATGAAAGTTTTCAACAAACAAAAAATGTGTGAAATTTTAATGTTATGTAAAACTATATGATAGTCACTTTACTAAGTAAGTGGTAATGATTTATATAAAAATACATCATGTATAATTATTTTTATATAAAATAAAGAGCCCATGTTTCTCTTTTGCTATGAACAAACAAACAACTAATTTTTTATTAAAAAAAAAGACTTTTTTTTACAGATTATAACAAAACTTTAGCAATAAACACCAGCAAATGTTTTATGCAAACTTACTGGCTAAAATCTGTAATATTATCTTTAATTCCAATTGATTCCCCCAATATCACGATGTTATTATTACAATCTCCAATACGACGGAAGCATTTTTTATACTAATTATCATTCAATCGATTAATTAAAAGAATATATATAGTGCCGGATCAAGGAGGGGGGCTGTAGCCTCAGGCCCCGCAAATTTAGGGGACCCCTAAAAATTTTAGAGGATTCTTTTTTTTTTCAGTCAATTTTAGGCTCTGGCCCATAAAAAGGCCTCTGCATATATATGTATATATACATATATATATATATATATATATATATATATATATATATATATATATATATATATATATATATATATATATATATATATATATGTATATATATATATATATATATATATATATATATATATATATATATACAAATATAAATATATATATATATATATATATATATATATATATATATATATATATATATATATATATATATATATATATATATATATATATATATATATATATATATATATATATATATATATATATATGTACATATATACATATATACATGCACAAAATGTTTCTAACAGTTAAATAAGTTAAGATTTTTACTATTAGACTTTGTTATAAATTAAAAAAAAACAATTTTTTGTTATATTTAGTTCTTAGGTTTCTTTTAGTTATTGTTTTTTATTTACTTTCGTTAAAAGAATTGTATACTATAGTTGCATAGCACCGTGGGCTGTAGTTATAATGTATTTTTACTTTAGTAATGATATTAATTTATTGCAACCTATTTTCAGACAAATAACAGTACTTGTGGAATGAAATTCCGTTTTTTTTTTAGAAGTAATAATGTTTAATTAATTGCAACAATAAAAAATATTTATTCTGATTCACTTTTTGTGTAAACTTTCTATTGCTTTTGATTTATTTAAAAAATTTAAAAGAATTTTTTTGAAAAAAGGTTATTAGAGTGCACTCATCCTTTCACCAATGTCAAAATCGAATAACATTAGCAAGTTAACCGGTCTTTAGATTTAGGTTTTTGTTTAATGGTGCAAGAAAAACCATAAAAGCATTTTATTAAACTTCATAAAAATCATAGCGTTTTTATAAAACATTATGTGTTGCTTAAAATTTTATTTACTAAATAACTTGTATATTTGTAATAAAATTTTTATTTTTATATAATATTTTTTTTTCTTATAGTTATTATAACAAACAAAGTTATAAAACTGTTTAAAAATAAGTTACGTCATACTTATTTAAATATTTTATTTTTATTTTTACGCCATAATTAGTTAAAGTATTTGGTGTTTAAAATTTATAATGGAAGAAAAAGATTGAAGAGTCAATGTAATGCATAATATTCTGGAGAAAAACAAAACCAAGTTTACATTTTTTTTTTATATATTTATGTTGCAAAGTAATTAATGTAAAAAAAAAAATTATATATCCTAAGGTTTCTTAAGTTTTAAAAAAATACAATACTTGACAGTTAATAGGCGCTCAAAATACTCGAAAAATTACATCAAAGAAAAAAAAAATTCTTTATTTAAAATAACGGAAATTGATATAAAAAATAAAATAAATACAGCTAATAGATAATATTATCTATAGTCTAATACCTATTATGTGTCGCATTATTACTTCTTTTTACACATTAAAAGTATATATTATATTAAAATATATTTTATATTAAATATATTATATAATATATTTATTTTTTTGGGTACGAGTTAAAAAGCTTTAAGTATTGCATTTGATATTGCTATGATAATTTTAAAAGTCTTTGTAACCAAATTTATCATTTATCTTCATATGTATTTGATGATATTAGATGAAATCTTTAATTTTGTTTCATTAAATTTACATCTATTTCATGAGTATTATAGTTTGTTAACATTTGAAGAAACGTTTATAGAAGACTAAATTTGTTTTTGTCATTTATGGTGTGTTGCAAATTATTAGCTAATTTAAATACTAGAATGTAACCTGCTTTTTAAAAACTTTTTTTCAACTCAAGTCTACTTTTCGGAGTGAAGGTAAAAAACAAAATTTGGAACGATTTTGTCGTAAATAACAGTTATTTCAAGAAAGTTTAACATGTTATTTTTGTTTACAGTTTAAATCCATTTTATTAGCATCAGCAGTTAGGTTAAAGCGGGGGTGGGAGGCAAGAAAATGCATTATTTAAATAGTTTAATAAGTATGTATACTTTAATAGATACTGCCAATAAATTGTTTAATAGGTTGTGCAATAGCATGAGTTTCAGTAATAAAAGTAGATTTTTAAAAATGCGCAAATTTTTTTGAATTCAAAATTTATTCAAGAAGATCTGTTTTTTAAATAAAACTACTTTATTGTATATTTAAATTTTGGTCAGTCTAATATCAAACAAAAAAATAAAATTAAAATAATTAGTTATTAGTACTAATATAAACTAAGTATGATAAGTGAATTTAAATATTTAAAATTGTTATTTTTTGTTTATGCAATTCGGTGTTGCTTTAATCTTTTTTTGTATTTATTTCATTTTTTGTTTATTTGTTTAATAATGCATTTCATTTTGAAGTAATTCTTTATGAGAAATTTGAGCTAACTACACATAGTTTTAAACTTCAGGAAACCATGAACAGCAGCGACAAAACAATTTCAAGCCGCTTCCTCCTTCCTGCTCAGGAGTTCTGTAATATCTTCCTTGCTAGCAAAATTGCTGTTTTCTTATGAACATGGCTGGTTCCACATATGGGACATAGGAACAGGCAGCTTGGGGTTGTGTATTACTTAAGCAAGAGACGAAGGAATGCTTCAATAAATGATATGAGGCATTACATTTTGTTGGATCAACAAGCAGAAATAGAGACTGCTAGAGTGGTCCGTTGGTGATACCAAATTTGCGGGATTGTAATTTTTAGAGCTCATTTTTTCCCCTTGTACTAACCCTTAATGTATAATTAATTATATAAATTAAAGACAGAAAAAGGTAGAGTACAACAATTTATATTGAAACTATATTAGTTTTAACTTCTTAAAATAAACTACTTACATTTAAATCATTTCAACTTAAAAAATTCTACTTTTAAGTGTTGTTTTTTTTGCAATATTCGCATGTGAAATGCAAATAATTTGTCCTTATTCCTGACAGAAATGTCGATATATATTTTTAGTAAGTCGCATAGATTTTACTATTTGCTTTTTACGAATTTAAGAATTTGTAAAAAATTTTAAAGATTTTTTTAAAAATTCTAGAATATTGTGAAAAACTCTCGAACCTTTTAAAAAGTTTTAGTCGTTTAGAAAAAATTTTAAAAAAATGCTCATTATTTAATGCAAACCGAGTTTTTATATACACACAAAAGTACAAAAATATTGTTGTCCCGAATCATTGCAGATAAAATCTGTGCCTGGAAATATTTGAAGACAAACTACGACAGGTTTTACACATAACAGACCTTGGAAATTTAATAATATGTAAATGCTGGTCACAACAATCCAGCGAAAATTTCTTTAAAAAAAATAAATTTAGTATCGAGAGAAAATCGTATTTATTGATGTTTATAGAATAATCATTTACATACTCTCATACATGATGTCTACATTCAAAATATATATATATATATATATATATATATATATATATATATATATATATATATATATATATATATATATATATATATATATATATATATATATATATATATATATATATATATATATATATATGTATATATATATATATATATATATATATATATATATATATATATATATATATATATATATATATATATATATATATATATATATATATATATATATATATATATATATATATACAGCGATATGGCCACAAGGATCGCTAGCTTATTTTTAGCGAAAAGCTATCGATATTTGTAAAGATGAAGACAGCGAAATGGCTACGAGGATAGCTAGCTTAATAAGCTAAAAACACACTGTCTATTGTAGCTTAAGTCATACCGTAATAAAATTACTGTCTAAAAAATATTGATATGTAGCTACCAACCGGCTATAGATATGTAGATATTTTGTAGCTAGCTACACATTATACAGGCTACAATATCGCAACGTTTAAAGTTCAATTATTCTCATATTTAAAATAGACTCAACATTAAAAATCGAATTTTTAAAGATGTTAGAGACATTAGGAAAAAATAAAATAAAAAAAAAATCGCTTGAAAATCGCTATAAAGCTTACTACTTGCTTGCTAGTCGCTAGCTCATTTCCGACCGAGTAATTTTCTTCAACAATTTGTTTTGCCATCAGTAGGCTCATCAGGAAGAATCTGATTCTTCCTGATGAGCTTAGTGATAGTAAGACAAATTGTTGAAGAAAATTAGATAAGTGTTTTTACTAATTTATATATATATATATATAATATATATATATATATATATATATATATATATATATATATATATATATATATATATATATATATATATATATGCATGTATGTATACATAAATATATACATACATATATATACATATATATATATATATATATATATATATATATATATATATATATATATATATATATATATATATATATATATATATATATATATATATACATATATATCAGGGGCTATTTTTGGAATTAATTTGGGCAACGGCACCCCCGTGCCGGAGAAATATTTGCAAATCTAGCATTTTTTCGCGCAAAAAAAAAAAAAGAAATAAGGTCATGTGATGTCACATAGGAGGGTCCATTACATATATCAATTATCTTGTAGTCTGCTGACGCAAAGGAGTGCTGTTACATCAACTGAGAGTTTAACATGAAGCAGCATTTTTTTTCGTATATATATACATTTTTGATCTGTAAATATATATATAAATATAGATATATATATATATATACATATATATATATATATATATATATATATATATATATATATATATATATATATATATATATATATATATATATATATATATATATATATATATTAACTTTTTTTAACTTGACTGCTGCACTATTAATTTATATTACCAAGTTAAAAAAAGTTAATATATATATATAAATATATATTAACTTTTTTTAACTTGACTGCTGCACAGAAGTGTGGAGTTATTTTGACAAAAGTGTGCTCCACACTTGTTTATAGGAGTGGTATGAATTACGATCTAGCTAAGGTTGTTCAATGGCTCCGCTCCAATAAATTATCTCTCAACTCTAAAAAAGCAGAAATTATTATATTTAAATCTGTTCAAACAAAAATAAATAAGCAATTAAATTTCAGATTAAGTGGGCAGAAAATAAATCCAGTTAACTCTATTAAATATCTTGGAATCAAAATAGACTCAAATTTATCTTTTGCATCGCATCTTCAAGACTTAGCATTAAAATTAAGCAGAATCTTATTTTTATTTAGTCTGTTTTTATTAAGCTCAATCTTATTTTTATTTAGTCTGAAAGGTGTTTACTTTATATTAGTACAAATTACTATTTGTAAATATCCTTGATATATATAACAACTATATTCAGAATATATTTGATTTGAATTGATAGCTATACACCGAAGTGGAGGAAAACTCCACACTTTCCGCGAGTGTGCATATATATATATATATATATATATATATATATATATATATATATATATATATATATATATATATATATATATATATATATATATATATATATATATATATATACATATATGTAAAAAAATTCTAAGCATTGTCAACCCACTTGCTGCTCAACTTCAACTCCAATCAGATATTGACCATATTTCTTATAGGATTAAGTCTAGGCTCATATAATTAAACGCGAATAAATGTAAGGTCATGCACTTTGGCCAAAAAATTTAACTTACTTTACGTACTCAATGGAGAAATTGGGTCCTTGTTCAATAACAACTCGAACTACACTGGAAGCAACCACCTCTAAACATGACTTGAGAATAGAAACTACCAATGATCTAAAAGTAGAATCCCGTCCTCATGTAAAGCAAATCAAATGCTCAGCATCCTAAAACGTACTTTCCAATCTCGTTATGCTTCCTTATAGAAACAACTTCAGCTTGAAAGCCTCATTTGTTGAAAGATTAACAAATTATTAAGCTAATACAGCGCAGAGCCATAAAGATACCAGACAAACTGAAAAAGTTCGACTACAAGTCCAGATGTTTACAACTTGGTCTAATTTTTCTAGTCGACCGTTGGAAACGAGTTGACCTTATCCAAAAGTATAAGATTAATAAAAATATTGACATAGTCAGCTGGCACTTTCGTCTTATCAAGATTCCAACAAAAGCAAACCACAGAGAGAGACTTCAGCGAGAAAAATATAGCAACAATTTAACAATTGTCAATGCATGGAACATCTTACCAGATAAAGTAACCGGTTCTCTTACTGTCAATAACTTTGAAGCGAGTCTCTATAGGCTCCAATGTTACTACAGCTCGCAGCTTTCTATAGTGAAAGTTGCACTATGAGCTTCACAAAAACTAACTGTAATCTGACAATCTACGACTGCATTTTGTCAACTATTTTTACTTTTTTTGTAACAAATTACTCTACTACTACTACTAATACTACTACTACTACTACTACTACTACTACTACTACTACTACTACTACTACTACTACTACTACTACTACTACTACTACTACTACTACTACTACTACTACTACTACTACTACTACTACTACTACTACTACTACTACTACTACTACTACTACTACTCTTACTACTACTATTACTACTACTATTACTACATCGATTGAGGGTTTGGCATGAGGCAGCACTTTTTTTTTTCACATATATATATATATATATATATATATATATATATATATATATATATATATATACATATATATATATATATATATATATATATATATATATATATATATATATATATATGTGTGTGTATATATATATATTTATATTTATATATATATATATGTATATATATTTATTTATATATATATATATTTATATATAAATATTCATATAAACATCAGTATATATATATATATATTTATATATAAATATTTATATATATATATATATATCGAAAAAATTTTTGCGCATTTCTTTTTGTTACATAGTGCTACTTTATGACGTCTCTGGTATAAAATATCTTGAAATAATTTATATCTTAATTTTATACCGTTTTCAGCAATCACAGTTGAGGTATTTAGCCGTTTCAATTGCCGCAATAATTGCAATTGTTTTTAAAATAATTCGATTCTTTTCTTTGAAAAGCAGAAGAAAAAATTGAATATTTTTTTCAGTTCTTTCATTCATATATTGTTTGCACATGAAATTTTTGATATTTTATATGTATATTTTGTATTGATATTCATCATAAAAAAGATGAATCTTCAGATCGTTGTTTAAGATAAGATTTATTCTTAGCATCATTGTAAAATTTTAATTAAGTTATAATAATTAAACTTAATTAAAATAATACTTTTGAAAATGCAATAAAAATGCAAAGATTATTAGTTTTATAGTTGCTACGAGTTACGATATTTTAAATATATAGTAGTTTTATCGGTGCTATGAGTTACGTTGTATAAAGCATGGGGTGTTCTTAAAGAAAAAACAATGAATACACTTATATGATTAATCAGATAAAAAATAATTTTTTTTAATATAAAAATAAGGTAATATCAACAATAAGGTTAACGGTTTTTGTGGTTTATGACCGCTTGTCTTTTATAAAAAGAAAGTTAATTTGAATGTTGAAATTAAGTTAAATGACTTAAAATTAAATTGAATGACTTAGACTGCACTAACAATCTAGTAAAGGAGTTTCAGTTTATATTACTATTTATAACATTTTTTGTTTTAGATAAGCTTAAAAGCGATAGAAGAATTCTAGTAAATCCGAGGAACCGACTTACACAAACAAATTAAAAAATAAAAATAAAAAAAGATTATCTACAGAATGAACATCAAAAAATGCGTTTTAGTAACAACCATTTTTATTTCATGTTTATCAGCAAAACCATTAATTGATGTGGAAAACATTGATTTGTCCAAAGTAGCTGCTGATTTCACAGCCGCAATTACGCTCACAGAAAAGTATGTAAGCGAAGGCAAAAGAAAACCAATAAACTCAAAGACGGAGTTCGAAATCGGCTTCGGATGTAATTTTGATTGTGCCAATAAAGAAATACTTAGAGAATTGCTGTCTGACTCAGACGAAAAAAAAGAAAGTAATATTTTTGGAGAAATTGATTTTTACAAACAAGCTAGATTTTTTAAAACACGAGGGGTATGACGCGAATGAGCGCAACTGACGCGTACGAGTGGTATGAACATACGAAAAATGCTATTTAATTAACATGCAACGCAACAAAGCGTAAATTTCAACGAAAACAAGAAAGATTGTATTTACGGGTGTATTTTTACCATTTGGGTATATTTACGCCGTGAAAAAGTTTTCAAAATTTCTCAAAAATTTTCAAAAAGATAAAATCAACAAATTTAACAATAAATAAAATTTACAGAAATTTAAAAGCGTATTTGTCCTTTATTTATTTTTCAGTCAGTTAAGATCTAATTATATGTGTTGAATTATATAGAAGTTATTATTTTAAAGGATAACTTTGTAATAATTGGTGATAAGTATTTTAAAATAAATGCATAATTACAACATTTAATAATTTTTAATATCAAAGTATGTTCAATACTTTGAGTAATTTAAAACTCCATATTACCCAGTGGGCACACGTCGTCCGGAGAACGTTCGCTGGACGTTTCATAGACTTCCAGACGTCCTCCGGACGACGCATGCCCACTGGGTAGCGACATTTTATTAGCTTATTTGACAACCACTGACAACTACTCTATTTAATAGTTAATATAAAAGTTGCACACCAAATATCTTCATTTGACTGATTTAAATTGCCGCATAACATTATTATAGCATAATTTTACCGGGGAATAATTAAAACCTACCAAACCTATTGCAAACAGTTAATAAACTTAATTACCTGTTTTTAATTAAATAATTTAAATAACAATTTAAGGTAAAACTGTATGAAAAAATTTACTGTAGAGAAATTAAATGGAGAAAAAAAAGTACTAATTGTGGAAAAAGTGAATAAAGAAAAAAAAAATACAAATTATCGAGAAAGGCACATAACTTGAGTAAAAACAAAAAAAAACTTGTGAAAAATATTGCGCGAAGAGACTTCTGTTAAATGTTTTTATTAGCACTTTCTATTTTCTGCTAAAAATAGAAAATACTACATATGTAATATAAAATATAATATTCTATTATTATACTTATATTGTTTGTATATTTTAATATAATATATATATTTATATATATTGTTCTATTATGTATATCGCATATATTCAACCTTTATATGTTTTCTTTACTTTCAGTATATATTTCGGCTATTGAAAAATGAATAAGAAATTTTGATATTTTTCAATGTAATAACGAGTTGTTTATACAAGTCGTATTTAAAATATGTTTAACCCAACATCCCCCCCTCCTTTGCTAAGACTTTTTAAAAAACCTTTTAAAAAGTACCTTTATTACTACTAATTGTAATTAGCTGTCAGGACCCGTAATATGGGTCATCATTAACTGTGGTACCAAAGATTTAGAAAGAAAAGACATTTTACAAAAATAATAAATTATGACACAAATTAGAAATAACATAACAGTTACAAACTTTTGTACCAGAAAATACTTTTACCTTAATTGTATAAAAATTTTTGTTTCTTAAACTGTTACCTAATGATTCATAAAGTAAATTTCAAATCATAAAATTTAATAAACTAAAACCATATTTTAACAGTAGATAAACTCAAGTAATGATATACGAACAACTAAAAAATCAAGTGATAATAATGAAAAGTAAACTAGGAAGTCTGCAAATATTTTAAAATGGATTTCCCTGATTATTTCCTGATATTTTCCTGATCCACTACCTGTTTTAATTTAGAGTTATCCAAACTTAACTTCAGGAAAAATAGCCTCTGGGAAAAAATATAAACATTCATACAATCCACATTTAAAGTACCAAAAGAAGTTCGTAAAACCAAATAAAATTTTATACTTGTGTACAATATAAGACTAACACAAGTAATGTAAGATTAATAAAGAGCCTATTTTCTCATAGATTTTTCCAAAGTCCAATCCAATTTCTTTGATCATTCCTCGATATTTTTGCAGACATTTGAATTCCCTGACTTTTTCCTGTTTTCTTTAATTTCCCTAAAATGGCAGACACCCTGTGAATATGTTTCTAATAAATACTTCTTTCAGATAAAATATGAAAGATAATCGTACTATCTTGGGATGATGAGAAATCTTCCTACTATACTAGGGATAATGAAAGATAATCCTATATTTTAAAAAATAATAGATAACCCAACCATTATGAGTTGACAGTAACACTGAAGGAAAAAAAACTGAAAGAAAATTTAATAAAAAATAGCCATATTTAAATTAGAAACCAAAATTAAAAATCTAATTTAAATATGCTTTCAACAAAGTCGATTTATTTTATTTACCTTCTTAATAAACTTATTCAAAAAAAGGAAAAAATTTGTTGAGAATAAAATTTTGTTGAAAGCTGATATATAGAAATATTTATAGGGTTAAGAAATATCTTACACTAATATTAAACTAAACTTAATATTGGAATAAATTAGTGATGATACTATCAGAACTAATCATTCATGGTAATCATAAAAAGTTTTTGTTTAAGTAAATATACAGTACAAAAAAAATGAAAACAAGTGAAGAATAAAAAATTTATCAACACTAATAATTATATTTACAGTAGAAATAAATTGGATTATAAAGTTGACAAACATCTTGCTTTTTTTCAACAGCTTGCAAGAAGGCTGAAACCAATCACTATTAAAATTGGAAGTTACTAGAAGAGAAAGGTAGAAGCTTATAAAGCAAGATAACGATTAACCAACAGTTTAAAGATTGCAAATTAAATAAATCAAGAAAACAAGATGAAGGGAGCGAGTTTCAAAGAACTGATATTTGAAGAAAAAAACTAGACGAATAAGAATTTTCGGAGCACTTAGGAACAGTCAAAGTAAAAGTATGAGACTTAATTGAATGATGAGTAACACAAGAATGAATTTTAGTAGATGGCACAAGAGACGCAAGCTATTTAGAGCAGCGCCAAATATAGTATTTATAGAAAAGAGAAAGAGAAGCATTACGATAATAAGACAATGTTTGAAGGTAAACCACAAGAGCAGGTTCAACTATGTTTACAATGCGCTTTAGCACCCTGAATAAAAAAAAATAAGGGCATTTTTGAAGATCCACTCCAGATATGGCTATAGTATTCTATACAAAGAAGGATTTGAGATTTATATAGATAAAAAATACAATCTGGAGTAAGAAAGTGGCAAGCACAATAAAGAGATGCAGCCTTAGCAGATGCTAATTTTGTAATAAATTTGATATATGGTTTCCAAGAAAGATCGGAAGGAAGAGTTAATCCTAGAAGACAAAAAGTACTCATCAAGCACATTACCATTTGTAGATCTAGATTGTTGTGATTACAATTAGTTAAAAAAACTGAGTTTTCTCTAAGTTAAAGTTCAGCAGCAATTGAGAGCCCCATGCTGTAGCAGAATTGAGGTCTTTTTCATGCTAAAAGACCTTCTACAAGCAATCAGAGGGTATTGGCTTCTTATCAAGACAAGAATAAATGGTAGTATCATCAGTGAACAATACCACCTTAGATGTGAGAACTTTTTGGAGATCTTTAATGTAAATTAAAAATAGTTTAAGGCTAACGATAGAACTACGAGGAACCCCTGAAGTTACAGGAAATAACAAAGAGTCTTGTCCGTTGAAAACAACTTTTATGCTAAAATAGGATTCAATAATCCTAAAAGTTTTACCTGATGCAAAGTATGAGCTTATGGAGAAGATCAGCATCCCAAACTTTATCAAAGGCTGTAGAAATGTTAAAAGTTATAGCCTCTCTACATCTATCTAATGCACAATAAAGCCTGTTAGTTATTGCTTTTAACAAATCAGCAATAGAACAAGAAGATTGAAATTTATATTAATGATCAAAAAATAAGTCATTAGATTCAAGATTTGAGATAAAGTGTTTGTTAATTAAAGACTCAAAATTCTTGCTTATGATATTACGAAGACATATAGTAGTTAGACGAATCAAATTGTTTTCTAAATTTTTTTAAAATAGAGATAACATAAGAGATAACAACTGCTTTCCAGAAGGCTGTAAAACAAGACTCTGATATGCATATGTTAAATAGTTTTAAAAGTATATTTAACAGCTTCCAAGAACACTTCTGCAAGACTATGGCAGGTATATTGTTCAAACTACAAGCTGTATAAAAGTCAAAGCAAGAAATCACATTAGATACAGAAGCTGAAGTGATACAAACGTCAAGCAATGGATCAACCAGTTTGTTGGATATATCAGGTAGGATGTGATTAGTGAAATCAAGAAATGAGATTGATGAAAAGCTCTTAGCAAGCAATTCAGCTTTATTTTTAGGTATAGGTAACAAAATCTGAACCATTCAAGAAAGTCTCGAGAGCCTAATTCTTGAGATAAAATATAAGATTTTGTAAGCAGAAGAAGTAGGCTTTGGCGATAGGCAAAACCTTTTTACTATGGTTTGTAGAAATATTAAACAGACAACTATTTTCCAGACAATTATTTTCGCAATAGATATGAATGAGATAATAGGTTTAGATAGATCAAACCGTGATCAGAAGCAATTAGATTTAAAAGTATTTTAAAACTTAATTACAAAAGTTGATATAACAGAAAATTTGAATAATGACATAATGATACAGCCTCAATTTTGATTAACTAAAGTATTTATATAAATAACTTACTTAGCATTTTCATCATCATCAACATAATTAATCAAAAAAAGAATTAAAAATTATTTGTTAAATTACAATCTTTGATTGTATGATAAAATTATATAAACTTAATAATAAACTATTATTTAGTTCATTTTTAATGAACTATAAATAACAATATTAAAATCACAGTGCATACTTGTCAACAATTTAAAACTAATTGAACAAATTTACTAATTACTAATTGTTATTATTATTATTATTAGTGTTATTATTACATAAATTCATATTATTTTTATAAATTATAGGTAATTCACTAAAACTTACTAAAACTTAAAAAGTAGCTTACAATTTTGAATTCGCTGTGGCGCAAATAAAGAAACAGATTGAAACATTGTAAGTCAATT